ACAGGGCCTTACTCCATCTTCCAGGCTAGAGTGCAGTGGCATAGTCACAGCTCACTGCAGCCGCGACTTCCCGGGCTCAGGTGATTCCCCCACCTCAGCCTCCCGAGTAGCTGGCACTACAGGCATGTGCCACTATGCCTGGGTGATCTTTTGGTATTTTTGTAGAGATGGGGTTTCACCATGTTACCCAGGCTGGTCTTGAACTCCTGGGCTTAAAGCAAATCCGCCTGCCACAGCCTCCCAAGGTGCTGGGATTTTAGTCATGAGCCAACACGCCCAACTATTTTTTTATGTTTGTTGTTTTTTTCAAGGAATCTTCTTTTTCTGGAGACAAAGTCACTCTGTCATCCAGACTGGAGTGCAGTGGCATGATCACAGCTGATTGCTGCCTCGACTTCCAGGGCTTAAGCAATCCTCCCACACCACAGCACCTGGCTAATTTATTTCTTGTAGAAACAGGGTCTTACTTTGTGGCCCAGGCTAGTCTTGAACTCTTGGGCTCAAGCAATCCTCTCACCATGGCCTCTCACCATCCTCCTGCCTTGGCCTCCCAAAGTGCTGGGATTATAGGCATGAGCCAGCATGCCTGGCTTCACAGCTGAAAATTTATCCTACAGGTACTTACTTGCAAAATGATGCATCTAGGGCTATTCACTCTGACACTGTCTGAAACAGCAAAAGATGGGAAACAATATTAATGCAATCAACAGAGGACTGATTAAGTAAACTTTGGTATACACACGCAATGGAATATAAAGTAGCCAATAAAAATAACGAGGCAGTTGTACATGTGGAACGTTTTCTGTGCTAGATTGCTAGATGGAAAAAGCAAGGAGAGAACAGTATGCTACCATTTCTGTGAACAGACACATGCATGCGTGCATACTGCTCATACATGTACAAAGGTCTTCGGGAAGGACACAATGGAACTCTGGGGTTGCCTCTGGGAAGGGGAACTGACAGCTGAGGGACAGGAACACTTCCTTTACCCTGAATATACTTCAGTGCCATTTGAGCACATGCTATTTGCATGTTGCTACAGTCTGAATGTTTATGTCCCCCCAAAATTCATAGGTTGAAATACTAACCCCCAAAGTGATGGAATTAAGAGAACTGGCTTTGGGGTGCTTAAATCATGAGGACAGAATGCTCATAAATGGGATCAGTGTCCTTATACGGGCCTGAGGAGTCAGGTGCGGTGGCTCACTCCTGTAATCCTTGCATTTTGGGAGGCTGAGGCAAAAGGATGACTTGAGCCCAGGATTTTAAGACCAGACTGGGCAACAAAGTGAGACCCTGTCTCTAAAAAAATAAAAATAAATAAAAGAGCCCTGAGGCCAGGCCTGGTGGCTCACATCTAGAATCCCGGCACTTTGGGAGGCCAAGGCAAGGAGGGTCACTTGAGCCCAGGAGTTCAAAACCAGCCTGGGCAACATACCAAGACCCTGCCTACAAAACATTAAAAAAAAAAAAAAGCTAGCCAGGTGTGGTGACACAGACTGTAATCCCAGCTAACTGGGAGGTGGAGGTGAGAGGGTCACTTGAGCCTGGGAAGTTGAGTCTGCAGTGAGCTGTGATTGCGCCCCTGGACCCTAGCCTGGGCAACAAAGTGAGACCACGTCTCAAAAATGTTTTCAAAAAGAGGCCTGAAGGAGCTTGTTCTCCTTCCACCATGTGAGGACACAGCTAGAAGGCACCGTCTGTGAATGAGAAAGCACACCTTCACCAGACACTGGCTATTGCTGGTGCCTTGATCTTGGACTTCCTAGTCTCCAGAACTGTAAGAAATGTTTGTTGTTTATAAGCCATTTAGTTTATGTTTTTGTTATAGCAGCTCAAACAGACTAAGACACATGTATTCAAATTAATAAGATACTTTAAAATCTTCCCATCCTCACACCTAGGATATAGAAATAAGTTATCAGGGTGGGGGTTGGGAGCTGAGGAGGGGGCTAGGGGTCTCCAAAGTTTATTTTCTGTACACAAACGGTAAAAACTCCAAGCATATACATCCCCAACATGTATACGCTGTTAAACTATGATAACTGCCACTTTTACAGATCAAAAACGATTATCAGCAGTTTCTTGTGGTTCAACCTTTTATTTATAAATTAATGACCTATATGTACTAATGAACTAATACTGATGTATATATATAATACATTCAAAGTGAAAAACTAAATAAGGCTGAGCCTGAAAGTGAATATAAACCAAAGGCCTAATCTTTTCTTCCCAACCCAACCCAACCATCCTGTGCACCCTCTTCCCCTTGGAGGCCACTGCCCTAAGTGAGAATCAGCATCGACTCCACCACAGCCGACTTCAGTGGTGACAACTTTTAATCAATAGAAGCAATTTTTCAAAGTGAAAACTGTTTCAAATCATGAAGCTTATCACTTAGACAATTCAGACATGATAACGTTCATTTAGACAGACACAGGTATGAAAATTCCAATCCCTTCTTTTCACTATCACTGTATCTGACACACACATCACCTCCCTAGGCACTATGACACTATCCTGGGAGAAGCAAATGTGTACAAAGAAGTACAATCCTGCTCTCTCCCCACACTTCACATAAACCAGTATAGTGCTCCTGTAGTCAGGGTTTCAGATGTCAATTTTCTGTTGTTTTTAGAGACAGTGTCTTGCTATGCTACTCAGGCTGAAGGTAAGTGGCCGTTCACAGGCATGATCGTAGCGCACTGTAGCCTTGAACTCCTGGCTTCAAGCAATCCTGCAGCCTCTCAGCCTCCCAAGCAGCTGGGACTAAAGGTGCATATCACCACACCCAGCTTGATGTGAATTTTTTAAGCAATAATGTCTCATTAGGCTGGGTGCGGTGGCTCATTCCTGTAATCCCAGCACTTTGGGAGGCCGAGGCAGGTGGATTACGAGCTCAGGAGTTCAAGACCAGCCTGGCCAATATGGTGAAACCCCGTCTCTATTACAAATACAAAAACTAGCTGGGCATGGTAGCTCGTGCCTGTAGTCCCCGCTACTTGAGAAGTTGAGGCGGAAGAATCGCTTGAACCCGGGAGGCGGAGGTTGCAGTGAGCCAAAATCGTGCCACTGCACTCTAGCCTGGATGACAGAGCGAGACTCCGTCTCAAAAAAATAAATAAATAAAATAATGCTTCATTAATTTGGAGTAAGGCTCGGGGGGGGGCACAGAAGACAGAATAAATGCAAAAACTAAGTCACAGAGTGTTTCAAGCTTAGACTCTTTAACTTTCAAGCTTAGACTATTTATCATTCATTTTAATTACCTTATTTACTGCACAGGTCAAGATGTCAAGAATACTCTATATTGTCAGATGCCATGGTTCACGCCTGTAATCCCAGCACTTTGGGAGGCTGAGGTGGGTGGATCACCTGAGGTCAGGAGTTCAAGACCAGCCTGCCCATCATGGCAAAACCCCGTCTCTACTAAAACTACAAAACTTAGATGGGCATGGTGGCGCATGCCTGTAGTCCCAGCTACTGGGGAGGCTGAGGCAGGAGAATCACTTGATGCCTATAATCCCAGCACTTTGGGAGGCCAAGGCAGGAGGACTGCTTGAGGCCAGAAGTCTGAGACCAGCCTGGGCAACATAGCAAGAACCCATCGTTACAAAATAAAAATGTTTTAAATTAGCTGGGCATGGTGACATGCACCTTTAGTCCCAGGTACTAGGGAGGCTAAAGCAGGAAGATGGCTTGAGCCCAGAAGTTCGAGGCTGCAGTGAACTTTGATCAGGCCACTGCACTCCAGCCTGGGAAACAGAGCGAGATCCTGTCAATAAATAAATAAATGAATGAATAAAATACATAAATAATCTTTTTAAGAGCAGTACCATTCTATCTCTAACAATGTTAAACTATGAGAGTCAAAAATATTTTAAGGTCTGCTGTGTGCTTTCCTCAGAGGGAAGGAAACTGTAGGCATCGCACTGCAGCTTCATAAATACGTGAATAATCTTTTTAAGAGCAGTACTATTCTTTTTTTTTTTGAGACAGAGTCTCGCTCTGTCGCCCAGGCTGCTGGAGTGCAGTGGTGCAACAGAGCAGTACTATTCCATCTCTAGCAATCTCAACCTGTAAGAGTCAAAAATATTTTAAGATCTGCTGTGTGCTTTTCTCAAAAGGAAGGAAACTGCAGGCATCCCACTCCTCCCTTCCAGTAAAGGAGACCAACAGACAAAAAATATAGAATGCTTCTAGGATTTTTTTTTTAAGGACTAATCTAAATATAAGAAACTATTTCCTTAAAAATCCTGACATTGGAGTTCTGCTACCAAAGACACAGCCAAAGACATCTAAATAGCCAGAGTTTAAAAAAATAAAATAAAATAAAATAAAAACACACACACAAAAGTGTATTTGAAAACAAGACTGAAAGCTTTTGCACATCTGACAAGGCAGACTTGTTTTACAGTAGATGCCATCCATATTCGGTCCTACCAATATTATCACAAAGATATAGGCATAAGTCAAGGACTATGACTAACTAGAGTTAAAGGAAAGGTTAGATCCCAAATCTTATCCCTTAGACCAATTCATAACATAGGACTTAAGTTAAACCATTCAGTCTTCTAATGTAGTGGTTCTCAACCCGGCTTCTCATCAGAATCCCAGGAACTCTTTTAAAGAAATTCCCAATAACTAGGCTGAACCCTAAGTCTCTGGGGGTGGGATCCAGGCATGAGTATTTTAAAGCTTCTCAGGCGATTCCAATGTGCAGCCAGACCCTGTCTCAAATTCACCACAGCACTAGAGGCAGGTAACAATTACTAGCAAATTCCTCGGCCCATCAAGCCCTCCAAGAAAGGGAGACCTGCTGGGCAACACTGGCTCTCACTGATGCTATCCTTTCACTCCACTTAAGAATGACATAAGTTATCACTTTTGGTATAATTTTGAGACTTTCCATATGCCATGGTGATTTTTAGAGCAATATTTAATCAGAATGACATAAGTTATCACTTTTGGTATAATTTTGAGACTTTCCATATGCCATGGTGATTTTTAGAGCAATATTTAATCAGGTGAATACCAGCAAAGACAGAAAATACAGAAAAAGAAATTTCCATAAGGCATGATATGAATAAATAAGTGAAAAAACAATCTTGGGTTTAAAAGTAAAGCATGAGAATTTGAAGCCTGTGAAATTTTATTTATACAAAAGAATAAAAATAGCTATTTAAAAAGAATTGATTTAAACTTACGTTTTTCCATTTTTCCTGCTCCTTGAACACGAATCTGCTACCAACTCAGAAAGATTTAAGATAGGTAATTACTAAATAAACACTCTTTACCTCTCCTTGCAAAAAAACAGAGCCAAGTTTCCCATTTCACTTATGATAAACCAGATTATTTTCAGTTATGAATATCAGCAACTGCATGAAAAAGATGATCAGATATGTCAGCAGGAAGGTATGAGCTGTACAAGGCATTACAAAAAAACCCCAAAGAAAATAAGATAAAAACAGCGAGAAAAACAAGAACACATAAAACAATATAAGAAAATGCCAGATATTTACAGCCTCCATCTGAAATGTGACTTGTGTTCTACTTTCAGCATAAAACAAAACCAGAGAACATTTCTTGATGGGTATCACAGATGAAGCTGGTGCCAGCCAGTTTGGGGGGAGACATTCATTCTAAGAAGGGAGAAACGCACAGTTAGCAACTTGCTGGGATTATAACATTGTCTTGATCTTCCTGCAGTTCTGTTACTAAAAATGACATAAAGTAAGATCCAATGTCTTACAGAAATGACTTGTTTGTCACCACATTTAGAACAAACTACTCAAAGTCACAGGCACTGGGTCTGGGAGAGCAGAGGTGGATGGCCACGAACTCAGGTGAACGATGTTTGTCTTTGTGAGGTCAGAGAAGGGAAGAAGCAGGGCTCTACAGCCTGGAAGCTTCTGCACTAACGTGTCTTCTAATAGTCCTAAAGAGAGAAAAACAAAAGTCCCAACTTACTCTCAGCAGAACAGTTGTTTGACCCTAAGGGAAAAAAATATCTCATTAACAACTCTGCCAGGACATTGCTCCATAGCTAAAGATTCTATTTTAGGCTGGGTGTGGTGGCTCACACCTGTCATCTCAGCACTTTGGGAGGCTGAGGTGGGCGGATCACGAGATCAGGAGTTCGAGACCAGCCTGGCCAGCATCGTGAAACCCCGTCTCTACTAAAAACACAAAATATTGGCGGGACGTGGTGGTGGGCGCCTGTAATTCCTGCCTCAGGAGGCTGAGGCAGGAGAATCGCTTGAATCTGGAAGGCGGCGGTTGCAGTGAGCAAAGATCATGCCATTGCACTACAGACTGGGCAACGAGTGAAACTCTGTCTCCAAAAAAAAAAAAGATTATATTTCAGGCCAGGTGTGGTGGCTCAGGCCTGTAATCCCAGCACGACTTAGGGAGTCCCAGGCGGGCAGATCACTTGAGGTCAGGAGCTCGAGACCAGCCTGGGTAACAAATTAAGACCATATCTCTACAAAAAATATAAAAATTAGCCAGGTGTGGTGGCTCATGCCTGTGGTCCCAGCTACCTGGGAGTCTGAGGTGGGAGGATGGCTTGAGCCTGGGAGGCAGAGGATGCAGTGAGCCAAGATCGCACCATTGCACTCTGGCTTGGGTGACAGAGCCAGACCCTGTCTCTCTCTCTCTCTCTCTCTCTCTCACACACACACACACACACACATGCACACACACTAAAAAAAAGATTGTATTCCAAATATAATGTACAATACTTCACATCTGAAAATGGTCTGCCTTCTGAGTCCATAAAGGGATTGAAACATCAATTCTGCTCTTATTAGAGCATCTGAACTCACTAGTCCAAAAAAAAAAAAGAGCTAGTATTAACAATTTATCATTTAATTAAAGGGAAATTTCATCATCAAAAATGTATGTGACCGGCCAGATGCGGTGGCTCACACCTGTAATCCCAGCACTTCAGGAGGCTGAGGTGAGCGGATCACGAGGTCAGGAGTTCAAGACCAGCATAGCCAACATGGAGAAACCTCATCTCTACTAAAATACAAAAATTAGCTGGGCATGGTGGCATACACCTGTAATCCCAGCTACTCAGGAGGCTGAAGCAAGAGAATCACTTGAACCTAGGAGGCAGAGATTACAGTGACCCAAGATTGCACTGCACTCCAGCCTGAGCGACAGAGCGAGACTCTGTCTCAAAAAAAAAAAAAAAAAAAGTATGTGACCTCTTTCTCTCCTTAAAATACAAAACCACGGGCCAGGCACGCTGGCTCACATCTGTAATCCCAACACTTTGGAAGGCTGGGGTAGGAGGATTGCTTAAGTCCAGGAGTTCCAGACTGGGCATCATGGCGAAACCCCATATCTACAAAAAGTACAAAAATTAGCCAGGCGAGGTGGCATGGACCTGTACTCCCAGCTACTCAGGAAGCCAAGCACAGGAGGTCAAGGCCACAGTGAGCTTTGATCGTGATGATACTGCACTGTAGTCTAGGCAACAGAGCAAGAAACTGTCTCTCAAAAAAAAAAAGTAACACCTAAAAGTTGAAGTATATCCAGATGGATACCCCAGACTTTAAATCAAGAGTTATGACTCCAGGTTGGGAACACTCAATCTCTGAAGATAAATACATTTTCCTAATCATCTACAAAATTGCCAGCCTCTCTGAAGTGGTCTGGCTGATACTTACAGCTCGTGGTTTTTTGTTTAACTTCAGATCAATCCTGTGACAGAAAAGATAAAAGATATTTCCATTTTAATTTACAGGAAATGGGTCCCACCATCAGCTACTGCATAGGGCATAAGCTATAACAAAGACTATTTGGTTAAGAAAAATCCACATTCTTCATTAGACTATGTCATATTTAGTTGTTTACCCAGATATTATCAAGCAAGTATTAAAAATTACGAGCACACATTTTTGCCCTAAGGCAAACTTAGATGACTCTAAAAAGAAATGTATACAGCAGCTACAAAAGCCATATAATGTTAAAACAATTCCAGAACTACATGTTAAAGAGATTGAATTAAGAGGGCATGCTCTATGTTAATGTGTTAGTTCTGTAACTATATCACTGAAAATTACTGAGACACATGGTGATTAACAACAGGAAAGAGACTAGGAGTTTGTATTTCTGGACATGAAACGCAAAATAAATTAAATGAATTTCAATTTTTAAATCTTTCCAAAGCAAAATATCAAGATCTTAAGCTATTATTCTCCTTATGAAGCAAAGCCAGAAAATCAATTTAAATATGAGTTAAAGGTTATCTATTTTAAAAGAAATTAAAATGCATAAAAGTGAAGTTTACTTAATTTTGCTTAAGTTATTAAATAAAATGTTACCTCCATCACGTTTTTCTGTTTTTAAAAAAAACTTCCCAGCCTAACCTAATATACATACCTACAATTAAACAGATAAACTATGGGTTAGAAAGGTCTCAAAAAGGCATACTGGTGTCTACACACTAAACAACACAGCACAAATACTAATTCAAATCAAACTTACTCAAAGTCATAATCAAACATGCCAGACGGGCTGAGGGGCAGCATTTGAAAGGAAGAAAGCAATAGAAATTAATATACTAATTGAACAAATTAGTCGATTAGCCACCCTAGCAAGAATTGTAGAAACAAAATCAGCTTTAAGAATCTTAAGCAACAAAGTTTCAAACATCAAAGCACCAAAGATTTTGTGGTCAGGAGATTCCCTTCCTTCAGTGGATTTCATATCAGAAGACTAGACTATGAAAGAAAAAGTTATTTCATTAGAAAACTACAGACACCTGGAGCCCTTTTATTAGCTGCCAAATTCGGAGTTAGAACTTTTAAAATATTTAATTGTACTGAAAAATATAATTAGGGCATTAGAGAAACATAGAAAGAAAGGTTTAGTTATATAACGAAAGGCACTTTGAAGACAGTACTAACAACTCAGCATAATATACTTTCACTAAAATAAAAAACTACAACACAGTCTAAACTTTGAAAAAGGAAAACATTTTACAACTTTTTACTCAAGTTATATGGTTTGTTTGTTTTTGTTATTGTTGTCATTGTTTTTTGAGATGGAGTCTTGCTCTGTCACCCAGGCTGGAGTGCAGTGACGCAATCTCGGCTCACTGCAAGCTCCGCCTCCCGGGTTCACGCCATTCTCCTGCCTCAGCCTCCCTCAAGTTCTATGTTCTAAACATGTTCAGGGAACACCATGCTCCTTTTCTACAGCGTTCATCCTACAAGCCCAAAGTTGAATGAATAAACTTGAGTGGTGGAACCTTGTTCCAGAAAATAAAGAACAGTATTGTTCTGCCACCTAAGTAGGTGATGGCAATTAACTATCTACATCAGGGCTACAATCGAGAAACACAAAAGTCTGCAGCACCCCCTTTTTTTTTAGACAGAGTTTTGCTCTTGTCACCCAGGCTGGAGTGCAAGGGTGCAATCCTGGCTCACTGTAACCTCCGCCTTCTGGGTTCAAGTGATTCTACTGCCTCAGCCTCCCTAGTAGCTGGGATTACAGGCGCCTGCCATCAAGTCCAGCTAATTGTTGTATTTTTAGTAGAGACAGGGTTTCGTCATGTTGGCCAAGCTGGTCTTGAACTCCTGACCTCAGGTGATCCATCTGCCTCGGACTACCAAAGTGCTGGGATTACCGGCATGAGCCATTGCACCCGGCCTGCAGCACCCCTGTTAAAACAAGGGAAAGCTGCCATCCACAAGCACCTGAGTCTCAGGGATCTGGAGGGAGCAGTACAGAGGAGGAGACCATTTTGTGACATCATCGCTAGCAGGCCATGGTATGGGCAGGCCTCTAAAGCAAACATTAACCTGGAGCATGACACCTGCTGCTTCGCTGGCTCCAACACCTTCCAGACTAAAACAATATGCAAATGGCTACATTTAGGTCCTAAAACAATATGCAAATGGCTACATTCTCCTCCTAGACAATGTTTACAAGAGTAAAGCTGGAAGAAAGCTTAATGTCAATATCTCTCACAAAATAGTTTCACTTTACACTCCAGCCTGGGCAATACAGCAAGACCTTGTTTCAAGAAAAAAAAGAATTTCATATTCCTGAAGAGGGCAAATTGAAAAGTTATTTCCTTTTGCTTAAGTGCCATATTTATTTCCACTTTGCTTTGCTCACCACTAACTAGTGTCTGGCACACAGTAAGTACTGAAACATCTGCTGAAATAATTTATTATTGACTCATCTCACTATATGGGGTATGGCACACTGGAGGAGAAACATGTACTATACTGGGTACAAACTTAACAATGTACATAGACACCATGCTCTGTCCCCACCCCAATCTGCCAGCCCTACTGAGATATCAGTCAGCCATGGTAAGGGACTTGGAGCAGACACAATTCCTGACTAAAGATGGCAGGAGTCCGAGAGCCTTAACTGACCACTCATGTGCCATTCAGGCACACTGAATTTTGCTTCCCTAGAAAGGAAGCAAATCAGCTTCACTGTCCTTTCTTGGGGCAGATGAGTGCCTATGGCCAAGGGAGATCAGCCAGATATTAAATCAGAGGGAAGACAAAAGGACAGCAATAAAAAGCAGGATTCTACTTTCCAAACAGAAAACACTATTTGTGAAGCAGTAACTAATATCAAAGATCTTTACAACTACCACTATTTTTCTGGAAGGAGATATCTCCTAGGATAGGAAGAAGTATTACTCCTATGGAAATGTGCTAGAAACCTGCAAGAAGAAAGCAAAGTTCAGCACCTCTTTAACTCCTTTTTATCAGTCATCAGCTAATAATGTCATTAATGGAAATGAAGGAAGAACTACCTGAAATAAACAGCTATCTAGAGAGTCTATTAATCAGTAATGGAAAAAACTCCCAGAAACTTTCAAAGAGTTTCCTCCCTACTCTAGACACTATGAAATAAGAAAATAATCACTACTTTGAAATGACACTAGGCCAGGCACAGTGGCTCATCCTGTAATCCTAGCACTTTGGGAGACCAAGGCAGGTGGATCACCCGAGGCCAGGAGTTCACGCCAACACAGTGAAATGTGTCTCTACTAAAAATACAAAAATTAGCTGGGCACAGTGGTGCACACCTGTATTCCCAACTACTCAGGAGGCTGAGGCAGGAGAATCGTTTGAACCCAGGAAGCGGAGGTTGCAGGGAGCTGAGATCACGCCACTGCACTCTAGCCTGGGTGACAGAGCAAGACTCCGCCTCAAAAAAAATAAAAATAACAATAAATGACACTGGAGTAAATTTAATAAAAGCAACACAGAGCATGACATTTAATTAACTTGACAATTAAAAAAAATTTTTAAGAATGTATTTCTCTCTTATTCGTGATAAGCTAGCACCAGTCTTATTACAGCTGGTCAAATAACCTACAGCCTTTCAAAAATATATAAAGAAATAGATATGCAATTTTTGCTATTTCTTACTACAGTTATGCAATTAGGATGGTGACTTCTGGTTTGCAGGAAAATGTTAAGCAGCAGTCCTCAGTCATTATTTGAAGGAAATACTATTTCTGCAGTCTAGAAAACACCATTACCATCAACAAGAAAAACTCTTAAAATAATTGAAGAACCAGCTGATGCAAACCAAGGAGGTTCAAATCAGGTAGTTAATTCTATGTTATCCCCAGGCACTGCCATATCCATGAAACTAACAAGTTTAATACCTTGGGTGCATGAAGGAATACACTACAGATTTGTAAAGCAAATCCAGAAGCAAACTGGAGGACAGGGAATGCCACCCATTCCCTGCATTGCCCCCTTTCACCTGCTCAGCATGCAGTCTTCCAGGAGAAGTAGAACAAAGGTACAGTTTCTAGACTGAGGAATCTTGCCCTGGCTTTGAAACTTCTAGGAGGCATGGAAACAGGTATGTATAGGGTCTCCATTACTCCCGGAAGGCTTGAGGCCAGCAAAACTCCTTACTCTAGAAACTGTACATTATACTCTTTAGGTCAAGCTGCATAATTTCCAATTATCTGAGTTAACAAACCCCAGCATTATCATACAAACCCCAGGCAGAGTGAATGCTGAAACCCTCTCTGGGTGATACCTGGCCTCTCTGTCCACTGACGTCATTCCTATCTCATTATGTACCGCAAAAAAAAACACGGTGCACCAACGTTACACGTTACCTATGAAGACGCTCTCATATTTTACAGGCTTTATACTGTTCCTCCAGTATCTGAAGTCAGCATATTGCTGAGAAATACAGAAACAGAAAAATCACAAGCAATAAAAAAAAAAAAAAAACTTGTATTTAAAGAGAAAAAAAGGCATGTCAAATCAGTTCTCTCCATCCACAAAGAAACAAGAGTAGGCAAAGATCAGGATTACCAGCAGAAGACTTTAGCCCACTTTATAGCTTCCCAAAAAGTACTAGTGGCATTTTTCAAATACTATTACACAGATTCCATTTTTATTCCTTTTTCTCTTCTAAAATTATTCCATATTCACCACATGAAACAAGGTTTTTATGGAATAAAACTATTCTACACTAGAAACAGTGAGAAGGATGCCCGGGAGTCTTCCTTGAACGTTACTCTAATGCCCACCAATTCCTCCCTTTGAGCAAATTAGCCCATTCACTTGGACCTAAGGACTTTCTTGCCATCAGCAACAGAAAGGGTCTGCAACAATCCTAAAGAGTTTTTATTCTAGGCCCAATTCCCTTCACAGCAATGGTCATGGGAGCTGCAGGGGGTGGGATTCCTGCCACTGACCTGTGCCGGTTTTTATTCTTTCGCTTTTTATGGCTGCTGTGGTGACTCCCTGAGGAAGTAGAGGAAGCAGCCTTCTGAGGTTTCACTCCCTGCACAGATCCATCCAGATCCTCAGGGTCCTCCTGGCTGGGCTCGTTTTCCTGATTGTGGAAGTCTGGAGAAGTGTCACTTTCCGTCCCACTTCCTGGCTCCCCTGGAGGAAATGAAACACAAGTTTCCAAATGCATCATCAGTACTCCTCAGGCAATCCGTCCATCAACATAAACACTAATAGGAAAAAACCATTCTCCATCCTCTAATTGACAGAGAAGATACACACAAAGGATCAAAGTTACCACAGGTCCTGAAAAAACATGTAATCTGAAACAATGTAACCAGAGACAACAGCTCTAAGGGCAGTTGGGAGACAGGAACACACAGCCAGGATAACCTCACTGCATAAAGGTTATTTAACCACAGAATACACTAATGGGATTACTAATTATACATAAAGCATCAGATAGGACTCCAGGGGAGTGAGGGATGATCTTGGAAAAAGTGCCTATAGCTGGCCCTGGTTTCTTCCCCAAACCATATGGGGATCCTGTCTATTTAAAAAAAAAAAAAAAAAAGGCCAAAGAGACAGAAGACAGCCCATTCCTGAATTACTCTAAGTTTTCCATTTTGTTTTTTGTTTGTTTAACCTTTAAGATCTGTTGAACTTGAACCTGATAAGTCTTTTTTTTTTTTTTTTTTGAGATAGGGTCTCACTCTGTCACCTAGGCTGGAGTGCAGTGGCGGAATTTCCGTTCACAGCAGCCTTTACTTTCTGGGCTCAGGTGATCTTTATACCTCAGCCTCCCACGTAGCTGGGACTGCAGGTGCCCATAAGCATAAGCCCAGCTAATTTTTCTATTTTTTGCAGAGATGGGGTTTCACCATGTTGCCCAGGCTGGTCTTGCACTCCTGGGCTCAAGAGATCTGCCTTCCAAAGTGCTGACATTACAGGCATGAGCCACTACACCCAGCCCTGGTAAGTTTTATTTTATTGTATTGTATTTTGAGACAAGGTCTCACTCTGTCACCCAGGCTAGAGTGCACTGGTATGAACTGGTGTGATCACAGCTCATGGCAGCCTCAAACTCCCGGGTTCAAATTATCCTCCCATCTCAGCCTCCCTAGTAGCTGGAACTACTGGCACATGCCACCACACTTGGATAATTTTATTTGTTTTAAGATGGAGTCTCACTATGTTGCCCAGGCTGGTCTCGAACTCCTGGGCTCAAGCAATCCTCCTGCTTCAACCTCCCAAACTGCTGAGATTACAGGCATGAGCCACGTACTCTGCCAAGAATATTTTTAAAATGCAGTAATATTCAGCTGACACATGTTCTCAATTTTAAAACATCACTGTAGATTATATTAAATAAATAAAAGCAAGCTCAATAACAACTTGTATAAATATATATATATTTATAGATCAGGCACAGTATCTCATGCCTGTAATCCCAGTGCTCTGGGAGGCTGAAGCAGGAGGATGGCTTGAGGCCAAGTGTTCAAGACCAGTTTAGACAACAGAGCCAGACCCTCATCTCTATAAAAACAAAAATTAAAAATTAGCCAGACATGGCGGCACATATCTGTAGTCTCAGCTATTCAGGAGGCTGAGGTGCCCGTGAGTTTGAGCCTGCAGTGAGCTACGATCTTACCACTGCAATGCACTCTAGCCTGGGCAACAGAGCAAGACTCTGTCTCTTAAAAAAAAAATAAAAACAAAAATGCTGCATGCAGTGGCTCATGCCCGTAATCCCAGCACTTTGGGAGGCCGAGGTGGGTGGATCACCTGAGGTCAGGAGTTGAAGACCAGCCTGGTCAGCATAGCAAAACCCCATCTCTACTATCACAAAAATTAACCAGGTGTGGTGGCAGGCACCTGTAGTCCCAGCTATTCAGGAGGCTGAGGCAGAGAGAATTGCTTGAACCCGGGAAGTAGAGATTGCATGAGCCGAGATTGTGCCACTGCAATGTTGCTCTGGGCGACAGAGCAAGACTCCATCTCAAAATACATATATATATATATATAGTTATCAGTATGGTTTGGCTCTGTGTCCCCACCTAAATCTCATCTCAAATTGTAATCCCCACATGTTGAGGGAGAGACTTGGTGGGAGGTGACTGGATCATGAGTTGGTTTTCCCCATGCTATTCCTGTGATAGTGAGGGAGTTCTCACAAGAACTGATGGTTTTAAAAATGTTTAGAGGCTCCTCCTTCATGCGCGTTCTCTCTCCTACTGCCTTGTGAAGAAGGTGCTTGCTTCCCCTTCGCCTTCCACCATGATGGTAAGTTTCCTGAGGCCTCCCCAGCCATGTAGAACTGTGGGTCAATTAAACATCTTTCCTTTATAAATTACCCAGTCTCACCTATTTCTTTAGAGCAGTGTGAAAACAGACTAATACAGTTATATTTGCATTTCATTTATATATATACTTGTTTTTCCTGAAAGGAATTTCTTTAAACTCTTAATAGGTGAGGATGAGTGAGGGAAGACTTTCACTTTACTCAACTGTTGAAGGATCCTAAATATATACATTACCTGGCCGAGCACGGTGGCTCATGTCTGTAATCCCAGCACTCTGGAAGACCGAGGCAGCTGGATCACCTGAGGTCAGGAGTTCAAGACCAGCCTGGCCAACATGGTGAAACCCCACCTCTACTAAAAATACAAAAAATTAGCTGGGCATGGTGGCATACACCTGTAATCCCAGCTACTCAGGAGGCTGAAGCAAGAGAATCACTTGAACCTAGGAGGCAGAGATTACAGTGACCCAAGATTGCACTGCACTCCAGCCTGAGCGACAGAGCGAGACTCTGTCTCAAAAAAAAAAAAAAAAAGTATGTGACCTCTTTCTCTCCTTAAAATACAAAACCACGGGCCAGGCACGCTGGCTCACATCTGTAATCCCAACACTTTGGAAGGCTGGGGTAGGAGGATTGCTTAAGTCCAGGAGTTCCAGACTGGGCATCATGGCGAAACCCCATATCTACAAAAAGTACAAAAATTAGCCAGGCGAGGTGGCATGGACCTGTACTCCCAGCTACTCAGGAAGCCAAGCACAGGAGGTCAAGGCCACAGTGAGCTTTGATCGTGATGATACTGCACTGTAGTCTAGGCAACAGAGCAAGAAACTGTCTCTCAAAAAAAAAAAGTAACACCTAAAAGTTGAAGTATATCCAGATGGATACCCCAGACTTTAAATCAAGAGTTATGACTCCAGGTTGGGAACACTCAATCTCTGAAGATAAATACATTTTCCTAATCATCTACAAAATTGCCAGCCTCTCTGAAGTGGTCTGGCTGATACTTACAGCTCGTGGTTTTTTGTTTAACTTCAGATCAATCCTGTGACAGAAAAGATAAAAGATATTTCCATTTTAATTTACAGGAAATGGGTCCCACCATCAGCTACTGCATAGGGCATAAGCTATAACAAAGACTATTTGGTTAAGAAAAATCCACATTCTTCATTAGACTATGTCATATTTAGTTGTTTACCCAGATATTATCAAGCAAGTATTAAAAATTACGAGCACACATTTTTGCCCTAAGGCAAACTTAGATGACTCTAAAAAGAAATGTATACAGCAGCTACAAAAGCCATATAATGTTAAAACAATTCCAGAACTACATGTTAAAGAGATTGAATTAAGAGGGCATGCTCTATGTTAATGTGTTAGTTCTGTAACTATATCACTGAAAATTACTGAGACACATGGTGATTAACAACAGGAAAGAGACTAGGAGTTTGTATTTCTGGACATGAAACGCAAAATAAATTAAATGAATTTCAATTTTTAAATCTTTCCAAAGCAAAATATCAAGATCTTAAGCTATTATTCTCCTTATGAAGCAAAGCCAGAAAATCAATTTAAATATGAGTTAAAGGTTATCTATTTTAAAAGAAATTAAAATGCATAAAAGTGAAGTTTACTTAATTTTGCTTAAGTTATTAAATAAAATGTTACCTCCATCACGTTTTTCTGTTTTTAAAAAAAACTTCCCAGCCTAACCTAATATACATACCTACAATTAAACAGATAAACTATGGGTTAGAAAGGTCTCAAAAAGGCATACTGGTGTCTACACACTAAACAACACAGCACAAATACTAATTCAAATCAAACTTACTCAAAGTCATAATCAAACATGCCAGACGGGCTGAGGGGCAGCATTTGAAAGGAAGAAAGCAATAGAAATTAATATACTAATTGAACAAATTAGTCGATTAGCCACCCTAGCAAGAATTGTAGAAACAAAATCAGCTTTAAGAATCTTAAGCAACAAAGTTTCAAACATCAAAGCACCAAAGATTTTGTGGTCAGGAGATTCCCTTCCTTCAGTGGATTTCATATCAGAAGACTAGACTATGAAAGAAAAAGTTATTTCATTAGAAAACTACAGACACCTGGAGCCCTTTTATTAGCTGCCAAATTCGGAGTTAGAACTTTTAAAATATTTAATTGTACTGAAAAATATAATTAGGGCATTAGAGAAACATAGAAAGAAAGGTTTAGTTATATAACGAAAGGCACTTTGAAGACAGTACTAACAACTCAGCATAATATACTTTCACTAAAATAAAAAACTACAACACAGTCTAAACTTTGAAAAAGGAAAACATTTTACAACTTTTTACTCAAGTTATATGGTTTGTTTGTTTTTGTTATTGTTGTCATTGTTTTTTGAGATGGAGTCTTGCTCTGTCACCCAGGCTGGAGTGCAGTGACGCAATCTCGGCTCACTGCAAGCTCCGCCTCCCGGGTTCACGCCATTCTCCTGCCTCAGCCTCCCTCAAGTTCTATGTTCTAAACATGTTCAGGGAACACCATGCTCCTTTTCTACAGCGTTCATCCTACAAGCCCAAAGTTGAATGAATAAACTTGAGTGGTGGAACCTTGTTCCAGAAAATAAAGAACAGTATTGTTCTGCCACCTAAGTAGGTGATGGCAATTAACTATCTACATCAGGGCTACAATCGAGAAACACAAAAGTCTGCAGCACCCCCTTTTTTTTTAGACAGAGTTTTGCTCTTGTCACCCAGGCTGGAGTGCAAGGGTGCAATCCTGGCTCACTGTAACCTCCGCCTTCTGGGTTCAAGTGATTCTACTGCCTCAGCCTCCCTAGTAGCTGGGATTACAGGCGCCTGCCATCAAG